TTATATTTTTGAGGATTATATCACTGAACAGTCTCCTCCTGGTGCTAATATCATTTTGTAAATTATTATTCATATCATGTATCTTATTTGATTATTGTACACATGTTACAGATTATAAATTTTCTATTTTAATAAAACAAAAAAAAATTAATAAAAAGGTAATACAATACACATATTTCACATTTTATGTTGAAAAATATATAATACATACCTATAATATGAAAATTAGATAAAATATAATAATACTTCATAGCGATGTACGGCAATATAAACCTCTGCTGTAGTCTATAAATTATAATACATATTATATTACATAATTATACATAAGATATAGACAATATAACTAATAGCTTACTATCACAACTATTGAATATACAATGATAAACTTCAATAATAGTAAAACGCGATAGTTGCATTTGTTACAAGTTACAACTAGAATCATCATCGTAATCATAAGTTTAAAGAAACTGTTAATATGAGGACAATAATATAAAATGATGGTTACTGTGACAATGATGTATGGTTAAGCTTTCACACTGTCATACATGGTAGTTAATGTGGATTTAGAAGTAAACTAAAATTATTTTTCCATTTACTTTTTTTTAGGGAATTATAAATACCTTAAAACACAGTTTTATTTCTATTGATTCCCTTTCACACAAAACTTAAGTATATCACTATTTCCAAATAATAGTAATATTTGTTGAGTAGAAACACTCTGTATAGTTACTGATACTTTATTAACGAGAATTTTTTCTTTTTAAAACCAAGAAAGTTGCTTTACTGTATAAAAGATTTATCGTATACCTAGTCGTTGAGTAAGATAGATCATAGCAAGATGGACATATTAAATTCAAGTTTAAAAAGAGTTGATAAATCACCAGATAACTATTAATATTAGATAGTACATAATATACTAACTGTATAACCATACTACACCGAAAAAGACTGAACTAATGTAAAATACGGTGCTATACCGATGTATCTCGGTTTTAGTTCACGAGGAACTCTGCATCTGTGTAAGCATCTAGAACTAATTCGACCAAGATGGACAATGAGCCCATTGCTATATTCATTTGGTTATAGATTTTCAAACATAATTCAAACTACTCTACATTTTCCTGATATCGTTAAGAACAATTTCTGAAACTTTCGTCAAAAATAATCGATTATTTCAGTAGGTACATTGACTTTTGTTGAAAATTTAATATTTAATATTTTTTTTTTTTTTATTATTGATTACCGTAACCAATAAAAACCTTATGTAATTATACGTAAATATAACAAATAATTATTCGATTTTCGTAAATTAAAACAAAATCCTTGTATGAGCCACCTGAAACAATCTATATGGTTTTAAAAAATAAGTTTAAAAACACTCTCAGGATCTCAATAAATAATCTATTTATAGAACATTTTTATTTTAAGTCGGTACAGTAGTTTTTGAGATTATCTTGTTTAACATATAAACTCTTCAGTTGTATGATATTAGTATAGAAGTGTAGATAGATATGTAGCATAGAGACGCAATGTTATAAATTATAATATAATCACATAAGTATAATATATTATGTTGCACTCAAGCGTGTAACAAATTTATCATAATTGTAGGTAATCATCCACTAAATCGTTTAATGCGTCTAGCCACAATGAATCTAAAAACCAGCTCCGTACTACAATAACTGCTACTTAATTAATCTTATTATGCATCTACCCTTCTTCTATCTATATGCATTCCGTACTATTGGTCATTTGACTTTGTCTATTATTAATAAATAAATATATATATATATGTGTGTATGTATACATATATTAGTATGTAGTAAATCATTAACATAGGTAAGACCCAAGAAGGAAATTTATTCTGCTAAGTTAGGCTAGAAACTTCACAATCTTAAAAACCTTAAAATATGCATGCATTTATGCCCTTAAAAATGATCATGTATGCCCTTAGAATGTTTAATTTTTCATTAAAAACCAAAAATTGCAAATGTACTCATTATTTATTAAGACATATTCAATTAAATTTTCACAAAAAATTGTACCTAGTCTAAAATATTATATTAACCATATTAACTATATTAACACGAGATAAAAACACATGACACAAACGAACGAATTTACATCAACTGACTATAATATTCCGCGTATTCCGGTCGATACGTAGTTTTTCTCAGCACACAAATAATTGGGAAACGTGCAGTAGATAGATTATTCAATAGGTAATTTATATTTGATCATTTTAATCCATATTTTTCTAACTTCTAAAAAATTCATATTAAATATTATAAAGTATGTATAAATGATTATCCTTTATGGCAAATATTGTTTTAAATTTTTTTTTAATAAAATAGTGAAATATGTACTTTATTATTTTTTTTTTTTTATTTAAAATAATCTATATACAATCTATACGGCAAGTTACAAAAAGTAAGTGTCATCACACTTTGGAAATGACGTTTAATTGCGGAGTAGGAAGGTCCCAGCAGTGCCACCTGACAAGAAAATTAGGTTTTTTTTTAGATTTTCATTAGTTAATTGAAAAATATGTATTTAAAATACATATATAACAAAATATGTAAAATAGAAATGATAGCTTTAATTATAATATATTTTTGCTTGACACCGCCGTCGCAATGCGCAATGCGTGTGGGGAGTTACCCGTTGGTGGAGTAAAGTTTGGTAGAAAAAAGTGTAACTGTCTTACGTGCAGAAGATGCGAACGGCTATAACAGGGACCTTAATGAGATACTGAGATATTTTATGTATGTTTAAATGTAATAGAAATGTTTCCGACCATCAATCGAGTTAAATTTTTTTGCATTCATTCAACGTCCTAATTCTATGACTGGGCATCACTGAGATATAATTGTATATTATTTATCAATGATCGATGAAATCTAAAAGAAACAAACATAAAACGATAAACGATAAACGTATGCCATCGTACTTCACTTTTAGCAAACAATACCGACTTAATACTCGTAGCTTAGACTGTACGAGGGTAAGATTTGTAGGTTTTAACGAGCGTGTCACAAGTGAAGACTGGCTTAATACAATTCTGAACTAAATTTATCTCCATCATTCTTAAGGATAGTTAATATAAAAATTATAAAGCTATTTAAGCAATATTTTCTGTTAAATACGTTATACGAGTATATATAATATATATTATTACTACAGTATGCTGTATGTTAAACTAATTTATGAAAAAACATCGTCTACGTGTATAATAATTAATTGTTAAAATAATATATCATAGTTATCATATATCAATGTTTTTAACTTATAAATTAATAGTAAATCGTAAATGTCGTCAAAGACGACAGTTTCATGATAGCATCACGGTATAAATTGACTTACAATTTGTCTAAATATTTTGAAAATTTAACTGTTAAAAACAAAATAAAAATAATAAACAACATATGTAATGGTTAAAAATTTAAAATGTATAGACTAATTTTTAATTAATAACTGTATGAATGCATAACTACAAAATGATGTACCTACAAATATTATTGGTTTTCCACTAACTTAAAACTCTAATCAAAAAAAAAAATATGACTTATACCTATTTTTGGTATTTTTAATTTTTACATGAAAATCTTATATGGGGTATACTTGATTAAAAAAAAATATATCAATAAAATAACGAATGGAAAATTACAAATAATTATAAATATCTATAGCACAAAAGAACCGAATTATTGTCTCATGTTCAAACAATCTTTACGTATGTAAATATAATATATTTGGTGACAATTAAAAGTGCCTATATGATTAATCATTTTTGAATTCAACAGAATAACAAATTGCTGTATTTTGTCAAAAACTGGTATTATGTAATATTCCCGTTTTTTCGTAATTATTTTAGTTTTCCCAATTGTTTTGAAAAGTACCCCAAGTTCCCAACATACTAACTAAATTCAATTAACTTCTAGAAACTACTATCAAAGTTAAAGTACTTTTACTGAAATAAACCTGATGATAAACATATAAAAATAAAAATCACGTCATTGGTAGCTGGTAATAAATAGTAGTTCAAGTAGTTGTAACATTATTTCTAATAAATACTCAGCCATTTACTTTGGTCTAAAATATGAGTTATAATCTTAAATCGTACTTATAGTCAGTACTACGTATTTACTATTTACATTCGACGGTAACGTCGATATATTGTGTGAAGGGTGGAATCCTATTCGGTATATTTATATTCAGTCGACTGGCGCGTTCATATACGATAATGATCACAGCGGTATCTACGTCCGACTTAACAAACTTTGATCGCAGCACGGCCAGCACGAACAACAACATCAACAGCCCATAACTATGTTTGCTAGATGGTGCTGCCGTAAACGAATTATGTGTTATACGTCATGTAGGCTGTATTTGAATTTTAGATTTAGAATTTTGATCAACTGCTAAAGTTTACCGTTTGCAACGTTTACTCTTTTCATTTGAACTAATGACCATCGACTATTCAGAAAACGAATAATCTGATCGACAAACTTGTTTTACTTTCAAACAATACCATTTTATTACCTCGTATCCTTGTTGATGAGTAGATTACAACGTAATATCACTCTAATTTATATTCTAAATACAGTGAACGATAAACATTATACTAAATTAATAATGTATAATATTATAATTCAATTAATATTTTTAGGAAGATATTGTCTTGTACTCTTATAGTAGTCGTGGTTTAAGTTTAGTTTTAGACGTTAGATGTTTTTTGCTGTTTTGGTGACGAGAGAGCCGTTTCGGTTTAATTTGGGTTACTTAATTTTATAGTTGATTTGGTTGATTATCCACGTTGATGAATGATGAGTGTCGGCCGTCGGGTGAATGAAGTCTATTAGATTTTAACAAAATGTGTTTACGATTGTTATTTAAACGATGGCGGGAATTATTATCTATTTTCAAGGAGCTAAGTATTTATGGGAAACCCTATAGCAATCTCGGGGAGAATTGATAAGACTTCTCACTAACCACCAGTCAACAATCGCCGATCGTCTAATTTACAGTATTCCAGACTCCAGTATCCACTATCCAGTAGTCAACACTTTGAACGGTGATATTATACTCGTAAGTTAGTACTATATCTTATTATGATATTATATTATTATTATTATTATTATTCTGTAATCCAGTAAGATAATATTACAATATCGTGTTCCTAATGTGTTAATATTTAATTAATTTTAAATTTTTATACCGTTTTTCCTTTAGCCTCAACAATCCACCTCCTCATCCTCCTTCACCTCTTGATCAAGGCGTCTCGTGTCTTCTGCGCTCTGATAAAAATCGTTATTAGTAATAATAATAATAATATACAACTATCGACTATCGTACGACGACAATAATAATAATCGTTATTATTATTATTATTATTATTAGTAGTAGTAGTAGTAGTAGTAGTAGCAGTAGTAGTACTAGTACTAGTATTGTAGCCGTGACTCTATCATGGAATGTCGTTCGACGATACCGCGGATTTGGCATTCGGATTGCGATTACAACTGATGATTACAACAGCGGACCACGATTACCGTGCGCGATTCAAATCGGATTAGTTGGCAAAAATGGATTACCAGCGGAAAACACGTCAACGAAAATCCGTCGCATGACGTCGTACGCCCGAGCCGCGGCCATAGCGTGCGATTAACCGGCGCCCGCGACATCACCGGTAGTGTAGTATGGCCCGTGTCGCCGATCGCGCAACCGTCGCCTGACCGACCGACACAGCCGTCAGCCGCGTTTCATCGCATCGTCCGCAAAAATGTTGGCCGGCGGCTACGACATGGCGTGGCCTCTGATCGTCCTGCTCCTGTGCGCCAGCGCCCCGCCGTCCGAGTGCCTGGATAAGGAGGACGTGATTTTCGCCGTCAACGCCGGTGGCGACGCACACGTCGACAGCTACGGCATTCTGTACCAGAGGGACTTCAACCGGATCGGCACAGAGTCGGACTATGGCAAGAAGCTGTCCATACAGCGGGTCAAGCCGCACGACCAGATCTTGTACCAGACCGAGAGGTATTCGCAAACCACATTCGGCTACGACATACCTATCATGCAGGACGGTGACTACGTGATGGTGCTCAAGTTCAGTGAGGTGTACTTCACCAATAGTGGCTTAAAGGTATTGCCGTGATTCTCACCTATAACGATCAAACCGGTAATATCTGTTTTCGACGACATTTATTTTTCTTTTCAGGTGTTTGACGTCGTGTTGAACGAACAACACTTGGTGGTACCGCAGTTGGATATCTACGACAAAGTCGGATTTGGTTCCGCTCATGACGAGTATATTGAATTCACAGTTGATGGCCCAACGTTATATTGGAGAGGAGAGATATCTATAATCAAAGGAAATCTCGTTCGAGTGGATTTTTTAAAAGTATGATTTATTTGAAAAATTGAGTAGCTACCCACTTTATTTTTAATTTGAATTAGATGGCTTCGTGATAAACTAGGTAGGTATGGTGACGTTTTATATCCATATCTAATCCAATACTTTCTATAGAGTATCATATCTATACAATTTATTGACTAATCTGGGATGCAGTTTTGTCAAATTCCAAATAAAATGTCATATCATATTACTTTATTATAAATAACTTCATAGTAAATGAATTAAACCAAATCCTAAATAACTTACAAAATGAATTCAAATAATAAGTAAATATTATATATTCTGTTATCATGATATTCAGTGAGCACGCTGTAAAAATATAAAATTATGTTTTAAAGCAAAAAAAAATGAGAGTATATTATTTTGTATTAGTTTAACTGCATAAAAAACAATTATACATTTAATTTATTGTTTATTAATTATTATTTGTTTGATTTTACCAGAATTATAAAATAAAGTTAATGACAATTTCAATTTGTATAGTATTTTAATAATTTATCATCAGAAAATGAAAGGTTTTAAATATGCAAATAAAACATTAAACATTAAGTATATATTATAATCATGAATAATAAATGATGGTGCAAACTTTGTAAATAACTGCATATTTGTACAACACTAATATATTTAAACACCTTGAGCATAGACATACGTCTATATATACATAATCAATAAAACTATATTAATTTTAAATGTGAATATTGTAGTATTAAGTAATGATACATTTTTTTTTTTTAATTAATGATTTATTATTATTAATAACTATATTGTAATTTGTATATTAGGGTGAAAGAGATAACCCTAAAGTAAATGCAGTACTTGTAGCCAAAGGCAGAATTTCAGGTTGGTACCTATAGTTTTTAGTATTAGTACTATTGAGTATAATTTGTACATTTTAATATTTTTATTTTTTTCAGATATACCTAAACTACCAGATTTATACTCTGATATTGAACCACAACCACATGATGAGGTAGATGTGGAAGAAGATGGATCTGTTAGTGACAAGGATCCTATAAAAATGGTACAACACACTAGAAATCCGAGTGGTCCTAGAGCGCCTGATCCACAAGATGTAAATTCCATGAAATTAATGCCAATATTTGGAGCACTGATTGCTTTTTTTGGAGCACTTCTTCTGCTTTGCAGACTGTGAAGAATTATTTAATAAATATATATTTTTACTACTCTTTTTTTCTTTTTTTTACATTACAAGACTACATTTTGTTTAGTTTTTTTTCATACATTTATATTTTAATATTATTAAAAAAAAAACAAACATAAATTGCACACATCAAAAAAATTGTTATGGTTATGTATAATACTGTTATCAATTTTTATTACAGTTGTACATAAACATTTTTTCATTATATTATCTGCTTTTAGGTATTAATGTTTATTGGAAAACAATTTTTGATAGCATTTTTATATTTCAAAGGACTGAGCAATTAGATTTGTTAATATTGTGCTTAAATTTTAAATTGAGGAAGGATTTATTTTAGTTTTAAAAAACTGTTTTTATTATTGTACATATATTCAATCAAATCACAACAATAAACCCAATAAGATTTTTACAAATATTGAGAAAATTAATTGTATAACTGTCTAAAATTGAATTTGTTAAATGGTGACTTGTAATAAAGCAATAGTTAGGTGGTTGTTATTAATTTGCTTGTTTGTTATTGTTTATGTTATAAATACAAACAGATATTTTATTCTATCAAATTCATTAAATAATAAAATATATTAAAATTTAAAAATTATAAAACATAAAATTAGTATTTAATTTCTAAGCAATTGCAAATTGATATTTTGCATTAAATTTTTTAAAAAATTAAATGCCATCGGTACTTTTGGTCCATCTTTGAAAATTACCAGAACAATATTATTTTAAACATACAAATTTTGTATATATATAAATGAAAAAAATATATATAGTAAATAAATAAATAATAACATAGAACAACATATTATTGGTAACATGAAAAATATTGTATTATTCCCGCCAAAAATAATATATCACAAAGATTTTAAAAGATTTATAAGGCGTAAAGGAATGACTTAGACTTGACTAGATTTTGTAAGTTTCAATCCCTACATGGAATGTCAGTAATAAGATCACATGTTTGCTAGGAAGATTAAAATAAAACAAATTATGAAGTGTGATTATTTCACACTCCACAAATATTTGACTAGAGTTAGATAACTTAACCATTAAATGTTGGCCTAATAGTATTGCACTATAACAAATTGTGTTAGTATACAAAGAAAAATATCTGAGTTAGTGGCTTTCAGCAATTGGTGAGTCGTGCACGCTGATGACACTATCCGTATCAGAATTGGTGGAAAACGGCGTTAGTCTTGTGTATGGGATGGGTCTTTTTCTCGCACTACAAAATAATTTTTAACCATTATTGAAGATTTCATCGCAGAATTCAAAATATTTGATGAAAATGGAATTTCAATATTTACCAGCTTGTAAACAAAAAAAACTGCCAAAAATCAAAACTTAACAAATCTAAATAAAAAAAAAAAAAAAATAATAAAAATAAAATCACACAAAATATAATATAGCCATGATGCATATAACTTATCTGAAAGCAAAAACATAAGTATGATGTATCTTGATATTACAATTGAAAGTGCACAAATGATTTTCACATGTTCGCTTTTCCTACAAGCGATATTTTAAATAAAGTGTCCATGACGATCTACTACACTGTTCCAAGTGATACGTGAGAATGTAATGTACAATAAAATGTGTTGAATAACAAAAACGTAACAAAATAGTTTATTTGTTTGTATTGTACGATTTTGCATTCAAGTAATTCTTTTATTTTAAACATTCAATCAAAAAATAAATAAATAATTATAATGGTAAAGAAATAAAAACACAGTAAAAGTTGTTTGGAGAAATTCAAATCGCACAATTTTTTTTTATTGCATAGATAATAGTAATTTATATCTACATGAACATGCATAATTATAATCTACTAGGAAAAAAAAATAATGATTATTGTTATAATTAAAAGACAATTAAAGCACATAAGGGTGGCAAAATAAAAATAATCAATAGTCAAAATAAAATTTGTTTTGCTAATGTAATATTGAATTAGCAAAAATAACTTTTTTATAAATTAATGGCTCATCATTTATTATAGTATCAAATGTAATATAAACACAAAAATTAAGTTACTCATGGTAATATTTAAATTGGATTAAATTTTCAATTTTACTTTATTTTTTGTAAAATAATAATCAAGACTTGCCAAAAATTTACAAAAAGGTTGTATTTTACACACACTGGACAATATTTATACAAAATACATAAACTGATAGCCTGATACCTGTGTTCCAGTCTCATCATCCAAATCGTGATTTGAGCATAATTTAAAATGAGATAGGAACATAATTTTACTATTTTGTTTGAGAATTTGAGTAAATAAAAAATGTAAACATATTATGTTTTATATAGTTTAAACAAACATTTTATGGAATTGTTTAACTCAAGATATATTTAATTTAAAAATGAAATAGGAGGTATAGAACACACACAACATTAAAATTTACCTTGTAATTCGTCTTCGATCCAAAAAACTAGGCGACCCCCGTCGCCTAGGTATAGATGCAGATCGAGACTTTGAACTACGGCTAGACCTAGAACTGCTTGAGTCCTGACTTGAACTAGAACTTCGGGAGTAATGACTGCTTGATGAAATACTAGTTGAACGTGAACGACTTGAACTGTAACGCCTTTTGTTTGAGTAAGATGGTGATGATCTAGTGCTACAACTACTATCACTGCTCCTTTGTCTTCGGGATGAACGTTTGCGTTTGGATGATTTGTGTTTACGCCTAGGACTTGATTCTTCACTTGACGAAATCCGTTTCTTACGTAACCGTTCATTTGAGCTAACTGACACTGATCGAGATCGAGATCGAGATGTACTATCTTTGGTACGGCGACGTGAAACAAATGATTTTTTCTTAGAATATTTATTTTTAGATCGCTTTAATGACTTATGATGATCAACACTTGTGTCACTTGCACTGCTACTACTGCTACTAGAGCGTGAACGCTTGGACTTTTTTCTAGTATTTACATCACTGTGAACAAATCAAGTTACTAAAATTAATTATTTTAAAGAAACCACATTCAAAAAAATGAATTACTTCTTAGTTAAATATTAAATAAATCTATAGTAGATTTTTATGAAAAGGAAATTTTTTACAAACCTGTTACTAGAAGACGATTCTTTAACATGTTTCCGTTTGACACTTTTTTTTTTAACAGGTTCTTCATCCGAGCTCTCACTTGAACTGGAAGAAGTCCTAACTTTACGTTTTTTCTCCATTAGTTTTTTTTTCAGAAGAAGCAGTGCTTGTTCTTGTTTTTCGTGTAATTCAAATACTTTTTTAATTTTCTCGGTAGTAATTTCTTTAATTATATTCAAATCAATATCTTCTTCTAATCCACCGTTTTCACTTGTACTTGAATCTAAAAATACTTGATCTATTCGATCATTTGTTTTTCGTGTTTCAGATTTCTTATGTTGGTTTTCACTATTTTGTAATGCTGATTTCAAATCGCTATTACTTCCATTAGGCTTGGTTACAACTAAACGATCTTCACTATCTTCACGCAATGAAAAAGTATACTTGGTACTCTTTAAATTTTTTTCTTCATTGTTTTTTGTTTGACTCAATTTAGCATTTAAACCCTTGGGAGGTGGTGTATAACATGACTTGTCACTATCACTATCAGCAGAAATGCAAGTCAATTTATCAGGTTTAAATGATTTTTTCTTCAATTCTTTAGTAGGAGTTCTCGAATTCCTTTTCTTAGAATTGTATTTTGAGTCTGCTTTATCAGATTTCTTATCATATTTTTCTTTACTTGATTTAATGTCATCACGATTTCTATGTTGTTTATAAGAATATTTATCATAATCTTTTTCTCTATCACGATCACGTTCTTTTATTGGTGTTTTATGTCTAGGAGAATTTTCTTGTTTCTTAGAATCATTAACAATGTCTTTAGACTTTGGCTTATTGAGTTCTTCAGTTATTTTATCTTTTTTCAAGTTTTTAGAACTTTCTAGTTTAGAATCTTTTTTACGGTAATCCTCTCGATCACTCTTATACTTGAATTCTATTTCTTTCGTATCATTGTCTTTTGTATATTTTTTATGATTATTTTCAGACTCATTTTTTTTTTTAGTTTCGGTTATTTTATTAGATTTATCATCATCATACTTAGATTTTTCTTGAGACAAAGTCTTGTTGGATTTTACTTCATCAGTTCTAAAAATAAAAAGAAAATGTCATCATTAAAATATAAGATTCAAATAAAGAAATAAACCGAAAAAATAATCTAAAATTATAAATCTAGAAGTAAATTGTTAAATTATTTAACATTTTTAAAATTGATATTTATAAAATTTCCATCATACCAAAATTACAACTTTAATTTATAGTGCTATAACAGTATTCACTAACTTTGTATTCATAATATTCTAAAAACATTTAATCTATGAATTTTTAGAAAATTAAAAGCCATTAACATTTTTGATCCTCGAATTTCAAGATATTTTTAACTAAAATTATTACCATTAAGATTTTAAATCTCTTAATATGACAATTGAATACCAAGAATTAATATTTAAAACAAGTATAATGCCATTAGATACATGTTTAATAATAAGTACTAAAAAAGCATCATATCAAATAATTAAAAAATATGCAAAAGCACAATTTTAATTATTTATAAATTATTAATTTGTATAACTTATTAAAAAAAAAAATACTACCTTGGACTATCTTCAGATGAAGAGTAATGTTTCTTTTTATGTTTTTTTGATTTTTTCTTTTCACTTCCCTTATCTCTGTAACAACAATAAATGTATAAATTATTTAATATTGACAACTAAATGAAATGTGTAAATTTATTTAATTACAAATATTAAAAAATAAAAAAGTAAAATATTCATAAAAACATTATCCTGCCATTTTTCTGAAAGATTAATATAAACGAATATTAACATTATTAATTAAGTTTAATTCGTTCAATGCACTGAAAATTAATTTGAAATATTTTTAGATTTACCAAAGACCAAAAAATTGTTAATTTAATCTCAATAATATCATAAATGTATAGATGAATATTTGATATTTATAAATAATAATTTAAAATAATATAGTTTTCTATATTTATTTCAATAATTAAAAACTAAATGAGGGATAAAAAATGTGAATATAAAATGTATTTGTTTTAACATATTAATTATTTAAAAATGACAAGCAAAAATCTTGAATTTTGTTTATATTATTTAAACTACATATTATTTGGTGAATATAACAAAATAAAACAATAATAATTAATTAGAAAATATTTTTAAAAATATTTCAATAAAATATAATAATGAATTGTTAAATAGCCTAGATAATTGTATCATATAATTTATTTATTTTATTTATTATTTATTAAAAAATGAATATTGTTAAAATAAAAATTTTTTTAGAATTTATGTAAGTATAGCAAAATACAATACTGTATGGAAAATCACACCAAAACAAAAATTATTGTATGGAAAACATAATAACTTACCACTATTTAGTTTAATATCCTTTAATCAGTTTAACTAAACAGGTAATCAACAAATTGCCTAATTAAACAAATAGTTTTCACTTCATACATCTAAGTGTATCATAAAATGCATAAAGCTACTTTCTATAAAATGATGATCAAAGGTATACTTAGACAATTGTAGTTCTTCTAAACTAAAATTAGATAAAAACACTATTACATAAACAAGATCAAATTAAATCTTTGATCATCAGCTTAGTGGCAAATATATTTTATACTTTTCCATAAATCAAACAAAATATTCTGATTAGTAATTGTAAAATTAATGTCTCAAACATACTTATCACTTTTATGAGATTTTGACTTCTTCTTCTTTCGTTTTTTGTGCTTAGGACTTTTAAACCTTAAATGAAAAATAAAATGAATAAATTAGTGTACACGTCTATTATAAATTTATAAATGTTCTACATTTTATAAAATATTAGTTTAGGTAAGAAAAGTATAACTCTTACTGTAATTCGTTTGCTATACTGCTGTCTTTATTTGTTGAGGTGTCTTCATTCGTTTGTGTTTGCTCAAGTGCTTGATCCACCTGCAATGCCTTTAACTGGGCCAGAGCCGCTTCTTTTATTTTTCTTTCTGGGTCTAAGCTAGAGCCTTCAATAAAAAATTCTGATATACCAAAAGCATCTCTTAGTCTTGCATTCTTTTTTAACTGCTCATCGGCAAATTGATGAGTATCCCTAACACTGAAAAAAAAAATAACTATAAATTATTTCATAGTAAGACTATATAGAAAACAATTTTAAAATAAATAAACATAATTTTCAAAACCTAACAGAAAAAATATGGTATACCCACATTCAATTAGATTCCCATTATATTAAATATGTTACCTAAATACAAGTAATTATGTTACTTACAAAATTACTTGTATTTAACAATCACTTCATGTTAGATATCTATTAACACTTATAAATAACTTAAAATTCTGTAAAGTACAAATCTCAATTAACAATAAATAAAATGTTATATCCTTTACATAAAAATACCTTAGAAATGATTTTAAGCTATTAATATTCGCGAATTGCATTCCATTAATGTAAACTGTATTCAGACAGTTCCAAGGTACATGATGAAAATATAATGAACCATTTGGATTTAAAGTTGATACTGAACCATTCATACAATTTGTTCTATCCATGTAACAATCACAAATTTTTTGCTTATTTTTTTTTTTCCGTCGTCTTCTAGACTTTTTTTTCTTGAGATTAACATTGACTTGTTGAATAGATTTCGTTTCAGCCATAATCATATCATTTGTAGGATTTTTATATACAGATTTAAGAGTTTTTTTCCATACCCGTTTAAAACACTGTTGTTCAACATTATTTGGGGTAGACATTTTATTGTTATTAAAATAATATAAATAAATTTAATTAAAATATAATAAATATTAAGTTAAATCTAATCACAATTTTAAATATTTGGAAGACTTGATTAATATTAATTAAATTAATAAATGGAAGACTCAATGTATTATTTAAATACTAATATCACATGTAAATTTTGGAAGACATAGTTATGTATTTAATTTTGATCAGATCATGGTGGCTTATAATGTGGTTCCTTCATGATTTACATAGTTACTTTAAAATATTTTATTACTTAATGCTAATTTCACTCATTATAAAACTCAAACCAAAATAAACACATACACACAATTTATGAAAAAAAAACACATATATATATATAAATATATATAGTGACTCATACACTGTTTACCAATGGGTGGTGCTTTGATGGTGAAGAGGGGTGGATTGTAGTATTGATCCAAACAGGGTTGCAATGTTAGTGGAATAACTTCCCTTTATATGCAGTGATTACATATTACATTATTTATTTACAAATAAATTTATTTTATTTAATAATAATTTGACCATAAAATACAAATTTTAAATTAAAAGAATCTTATTAAGCAAATAAGTAAAAATAAATAAATAAAATAGGTACCTGAATTTGTAGTTATTTTTTTTGTAGAATAATCTAGATAAAATTATTAAATTTATAAAGCAAAAATTGTAATTTCAAAAAATACTTATAAAAATTAATGATTTACAAATGAATAATAATTATATCAATCAATGAATATGAATCATAAAAAAATGTTGATAAAATTGTATATATACAGAATAAAATAAAATTTGACAATAATTAAATCTATATGATTAATAATTTCATGTTACTAAAACACTAACACCTTTTATCGTGTAATAAAAATGTTCAATAAATATAATTTAAAAGATCTAACATCAGAAACTAATGTTTAGATATAGTAATTTGTATAAACAAATTAATTTTTAAGCTAATGTATTATACCAAAATTTAAAAAATAGGTATATATGATTAAGACAATAATTTACATCTACATTATGTAATAATTTATACTTACATAGGTCTACCACATTCATCATATTCAGTCGTATTCTTTTGTTTGCCCAATAACGTAACTCTAAAAGTATTAATTTTTTTGATAATTTCATCTTGGGAAAAACTGTGAAAAAAACATTTAACAAATGACAAAGAATACTTAGATAATTGAATAATACCAAGACAATATTTGTTGAATAATACATACCCTTGGTCTTCCAAAGACTGTTCGAGTTCAATACATTTCAGCTCGACCTTTCGCTTACGATCGTGATCCAACAGCTCCTGATTGGGTTGACGGTTGGCGGCAGAATCTATTTTGGCCAACTCCTCTTCGGTCTTGAATGACGTATGATCTTTGACTTTTTTCACGGCCGCCCAATTCCGCTGTACATAACCGTTGGTACCCGAACCGCGGGCTGTTGCCAAGCCGATTCCGTTGTACATCGTCTGCGAAAAACCAACAAATCGCAAATGATTTAGAGAAATTGACTAGAAGAGACGTACGACCAGCACTTATTAGTGCGGCACAACATGTACAGCGTCACTTAACAGTACTCACTATCACAGACGCTTAATGGGTATTGGGTAATAACACTTCTATCGAGCAATAATAATAATAACTAGAGTAAACACAATTAACAATAGTAATGTTGTTCCACACGCGCATCATCATACCTCATACGATCACAATACCGCCACACAAGCTCCACTAGCGCTGATGTTTAAAAGTTTTTCGAAGACGATGTCATAGAACATAAATTGCTGACTGATTTTTGATAACGTAGTACCGACTAACGAATTACCGAACCATTACGTTGGTAAGGGTGTTCACTGCTGACTGAAGCTATAACAAACTTATACCATATACCTATACGACCAACGAATAAACGAAACGATTTACTCGTTACAATATTGTGTAATTTTATTCTGTGCTGTGCTATAAACTATGTAAACTAGCTCACTGCTCCTATCTCCTGCGACCGCTGTACCATGAACATGGTAGACTATGGTAGAAGTTTAATATTTTAGGGTTAGGCACCAGTCGTCTTGTCTTATCACAAAAACTGATAATATACAAAATATTTGATAGCGATAATTTTCACGACACCGGATGAAAGTTTTCCATTGACCATTACTATTTACTGCGGATTGTTGAAGTGTTTTGAAACATTTATACAATAAATCGATTCGTCTACAAATCGCTATGAAATGAGAACGTGAACTGTCCTATAAAATATTTAGTTCAATATGTTGTTGAGAAATTTAAACTTTCACAAAGTTCAGTGTGGTTTTGCACCAGGTAATATTCATAATTTCCATATAGTTTTACACAGTAAAGATTAACAAATATTTTTTTAACAGTGTTTCGGGTATCTAGATCATCCAGCAATGCCCCACAACCTGATGTCCAACAATCCCCTAATGAATCTGCTTCTGAAAAACAAATTAAATCTGAAAGGAAATCAGTTGTCCCATCCAACTCTAGATTTATATATCCAGAGTTTTTACCCGATCCTAAAATTGAATGGAGAAACTCTTTACGAGAAAAATTAGAACGCATGGACATGATACAGAGGAGAAAACATATCGATATACCCGAATTTTATGTTGGTATGTATAAGATGTCTGTTTAATGACGGTATATGACTATTTCTTTTCTTAAAAAAATCTTACAAATGTACTAATTGATACTTAATTTTATTTATAAATAAAGTGTTGAAAATAGTCAAAAAAGAGTAATTTTTACCTCTTCATTTTAAGACTAATTGTTTTTATTTCAAATCATATTTAATATATTACATAACAAATATTAAATTATTGATTTATCAATGATTAGATTATGATTTGAAAAATTCTATTTTAGCTTATTATTAAAACATTTTAGATGTCATTTACATTAATATATATATTATTTAAATTATTTATTTTTGTTATAGGGTCCATTATGGCTGTTTCATCATCTAATCCACATGCTCCCAATAAAGCTACTCGTTTTGTGGGTATATGTATACAACGTTTAGGATGTGGCCTTAGAGCTAATTTTACCCTTAGAAATGTAATTAAGCATATTGGTAAGTGAATATGACAAATATGGTTTTTTAAATTATACTGAAGCCCAGTTTAAATTATCTATATAGGTACAGAAATGAAATATCAACTGTATGATCCAACAATACAAAAGATTGAAGTTCTACGTTTAGAAAAGCGTCTTGATGACGAGTTGCTATACTTGAGAGACGCACCTAATGAATACAGCACATTTGATGAAAATATGGAAGCTGAATATTTACCTGAAGGAATGCCTGTACCTGTGAATCCTCTAATGGTAAAATTAATAATTAACAATTAAAATAATTAACTTTCAAAATCTAATATTTAATTTTTTTTTTTTTTAGGTTAAGTTAAAACCCAGACCTTGGCGTGCTAGATGGGAAAGAAAAGATATGAAAGGATTAGCTGATTTAGGGCTAGAAGAAAGATTTTATGAAAGAGCTAAAGAATTAGCAACACCTTGGGAGAAATACGACTTAATGAAACAATACAGGTAAATTAAATTCTCTACTTGTATTATTCACTATATATTTTCAATATAATCTTGTGTTTTAGGAAAACAATACCAGAGGAAGAGCAAAAAGAAATATTTGCTGAAGTTTATTCAGAGTTGCATGAAGTTGAAGTAATGCGCAAGAAACTGAAACGAAAAAAAGTTTTTGTCAAGCCCACCAAAAATGTATAGAATAATAATTTTTGAAATGTACAATACAATTATATCTAAATAAAGGATTTTTTTTTAATTATAAATATATATATATTTGTGATCTAATCATATAACAAAATATTTTTTCACTTGATAGTTGAGCCTCTTCCATATTTTTTAGTATTTATGTTTAAATCAATAAAATATTTGTGATACAGATGATTTAACTCAAAATCGGTACACCTGTTTTCACTCTATAGCCAAGTAATATTGACAATTGCCTTACAAAATAAATTATTCATAAAAAAAAAATAAATTGCCTACAATCTTGTCAAATTTTAGAATTTAAGTTTATATTATATTGTATAAATTATAAAAACAAAATTCCTAACCATTTTTCTATAGGTATGGAATAAAATCTTAAATTAGATATTAGTAATTTAATTATTTTAAACCATATATATATATAATCATTATAAACACAAAATTGAAATTACATAAGTATCATAAATACTATATTTTTGCATGATTCACTTACACAAATAAAAATATAAATTAAAGAATATTCATATTAATTTCAAATTTTCTATAGATGACAATGTATTTGTTCATTTGATTAAACACACTTTATTTGTTCAAATGTTCAACTTCCTTCAACTACAAAAATAAAATTTTATTAAGTAAGCATTTTAATCAGTAAATATTCTTTATAAAAATTTTAACTTTCTTTGGTAGTCATTTAATATTTTAAAACCTAGAAAATTAAAATTTTTTAATGTATCTTGAGCTTTTAAGATCTTATTCCAAATTATATTATCACCAAATTACTGTTAAGTCATAACACTCATAACTATTTTACACTAATAAATATGATTAGTATTCACTTGATAAAATGAAAATAAAATATTGTATTATGCTACTTAATTTTAGCAATACAATAATTTATTATCAGATTATACAGAACATGAATCCACTGATATATTTCTTAAATAATTTCCAAGTTAATTATAAATAACAAAAAATAATATCTGATATATATTCATAAATCTCAAATTTGACTATTCTATATAAATAATCACATAAAATTTAAAGAGGTAAATAAAATTATGAATTTGAAGTTTAACAGTTATAGTTTTCTAGTGCATATGAATATTTTAGAATAGTCTTCATTCAATGCTTATATTATTGAAAAAATATAAATACAATATTAGTAATTAATGGTTATAATTGAAAACATTTTATATTAGTATTTTAGGTAACACGAGTATATGTATTTCATGTGTTTGTATCTTAAAATATACTTATAAGGTACTGCATTTCGTCTGTAAAAATAAACATTTGTTTTAAAATTTACTTTATTTTGGATCAAACTTAATACATGACTAATATATTTTTTTTTTTTTTAATTTAAAATGTATCTGTTAAATATTATTTATTTTAAAAAGGCAAGATCAAAAAAAAAATCACATTTCTTCTATTTTTAATATAAATATTTATTTCTATAGTTAGACAGAACACCCGAGTTAGAAAAAAGTATATATATTTGTTTTAATTATTGAAGATAAATATATAAACTTATCTCATATTTTTAATATAATAATTAATATATATAAAAAAAAAACACACATTGAATTTTAAATTATAAAAAGAAATAAGAATTATTAGGTACCAAAAATGTACTGAATTGGATGGTGATTACCAATATTTTCTTCAATTTTTTTTTTCATTATCATATAAACTGAAACAAAAATAAAAATAACATAATATATTAGACTACACAAATTTACAATTCTTCAAAATAACATAATTAATTAATAATGGAATTAAGTGTTTTTTTTTTTTAGAGAATATTTGACATACCTTTTAATATTGGAAATCTGATGGCAAATTGTATTTGACATAAGGTACTTCAACATCATCACCATTAGTGTTGTTGCAGCATATTTCGAAAACTAATGATTTTACATGTGGTTCAATCCTTTTCTTGGAAACATTGCGTACAATTTCAGACATTTTAGTATTGATACGCTCTTCTCTCTTTGCTTTAGGCATAAAAAATGAATACAACATACAAACTCCTTGAGAGAGCATAGTGATTTCTAGTGCATGTTTATCTTTGAAGTAATTTAAGAATTCATTTAACGTAAGTTCACCTTCCACTTCAAAACGATCCCACAAAGTCCATTCAATATCATAATATTTAGATTTTGGTGCTAATAAAGGTTCAGAAAAACCAAAGAATGGTAAAGCTAAATTCACAAAACCATTTTTGAACTTTTCCAAATCTTTCAATCCCTGAGCTAATTTAATGAATTCCTGACAAACAAGACCAGCAACAACAGATGTTGTTGTAGCAATTGCTGGGATAATTTTACCAGCAATGAGTTTACTTCGATGTCTATCAGCAGGTTGAATACCATAATTTGTAGCTCTTAAATTTGATGCTGCTACAATAAAATCAATATGTAAGTTATCATCATCATCTTTTTCAAATTCTAAAGGAACGATTTTAAGATTTTTTAGAGAGTCTGCTGGTGGTAAATCTTTTTGAATTTTATTTAGTTTACTTTGGTCATAATTTGATGATCCATTAGTTATCTGTGAATCATTTTCAGCTATTCTTACACCAGATTTTGGGACAAACTCAGGAACTTTAACCGAAGATACAACATTGGCAACATAAACGCGATCCCTAATCTGATTAATATTATATGTTTCTGCTCTTAAATTGGCTGCTGTCAAAATATAATCCAGATGTAATGAATTATTTACATCAAATATGATAGGTTTTGGACAACGCTTGGGTCCTGACCAAAATGGTTGACCACTAGATGTTGTTTGATCTGGTGGAAAATTGAACAAAAGTTGTTTGATTTGATTTGTAAATTGATCTTCAAAATGCTTTCTAGCCCACTCAATACAATCATCAACATTTTTAGGGCGTTCTGCAACTGATGCTCTAACAGAATCCATAATCTCAACGGGTTGAAGTCCAGGTAAACGATTTGTACGATCAACAAATGTAGGGTCCTCTAAAAATTGTTTAACATTTTCTGGTGTTTGTTTGTAAAGCCCTTCAAACAGATCTCTAGCCCACTGTAATGTATGTTCAATAGCATTGGGAAAATTTTTAAGAGTACAGATTGGTATGCTTTTTTCTGGAGGATCTTGAGAAGTGCTATAAGATTCTGTCAAGTTTGGTATTACAACTTGAGTATTACCCTTTGTAC